AATTCTTTCTTTTGCAGTGACTCAACATAAAATTGCACTGTTTACTTCTATGTGTACTTATTTTCCACCATTTTATTTTATTATTATTTTTATTTATTTATTTATTTATTTATTTATTTTCACAATTTTTGAACATTATATATATATTATATTATATTTCAACCACTTTTAATGGTCGCACATTTTCACAGTTGATTTCTTTTATTTTTATGTTTTTACAGCATGTATTCTCACCTGTATCTACAGCACAAAGTCTAGGTACATGTTTCACTTGTGTTTTTAATTTAATGCAATTTAATATTTTTATTATTATTCTTTATTAATAGTTATTGAGACAAACAGTCATTTTTCCCTTTTTCTTAAAATAAAGATTGCCTTATTTCACCTTGATAAATTAAATTCTTAATTCTTAAATTTCGTCATGCACCATGTTTGATGACAATAAAGCATTCCATTCTATTCTATTCTATTCTATTCTATTCTATTCTATTCTAATTAATCTTATAAAAGAATTAATCGCCAGCGAGGTTATTTAGTTCATGTACCAGCTCACTGTTTGGTTAAACCCTGTGAAGACCTTTAACTTACAATATATACCTTATCAGAACAACAGTCATAAGACTTTACTGTGTGAAGGGCCACGATGTGATTTCCGTTGTAAATCATTGATATGGTAATACAATTTCACTTCCTTCTGCTAATATTTCTAATTAATTTCTGCTTCCCGCCCTTCTGCTGTCGGTTTACTTGATTTTATTAACAGATTTTTTTCTTAAATTCACATGCAGCTTTGTTATTTCATTTGTTTTCCCAGCTTAGTGTTTATTTTAAAACAATAATTTCATCTTTCACAGCAGAAGTCTGACTTTAGCTGCTTGTTATCGTGCAGAAATAAAGTCTGATGCACAACAAAACTAACATTCCTCTTTAAAACTGTATAAACACTGCTATGTATTGCAGACAACACATCACATTATTCCCAGAAAACGGCAATTTTCAGGAAGCCGTGAAGAAGCTACAGGTTTAAAGGATTTCAGGATCTTAATGTTTATGAATGAGCACTGAAATCTACAAAGTCTGTTTACCATTTAGGAATGCCTACACCACTGAAACAACACAAACGTGTATTTTTTTCAATGGCAAAATTTGAAATTCTACAATTAAAAAAAATATATTTAAGAACTTTTTTAAACAATCTTTTTTTTTTGTCTTTTTTTCTAGATGTTTTAATGGTGTTTGCATTGTTTAAAAAAACATTAAGTTAAGGTAATTTTCCTTTGTTTTAAAAATATATATACATTTTTTTATTTTAAATATATTTTTATTTTTAAATTAATTATTTTTTTGCTGCCATTAAATACATGTTGCCATCAGAATTCTAAAAATAATAAATCAATAAATCAAATGAAGCAAAAAATGTGTAGATTTTCTTCTCTATTTTTTAGTTTTTCTACTAACATTTTTGCACTGTCCCTGCTTTTAAATACGCTTTTAATAAAATAAAATAATCTACCTGATTATAAAACGGTAAATAAATAAAAAAGCAACTGATCTCAGGACATCGGTGTATAGTTATTCTTATTTTTAGCTGCCAAAATCAGGTTGCTAGCCTAAGCAGCATGTTTTTAAAAAAATAAAAAAAATTAAATAGTTCATTAAATATGCTTTTTAAAAAGTAAAATAATTTACCTGAATAAAGTAAGTAAAGTTAGCGATCAGTTTGCGCAGTAGCCTGCTGTTAATTCTTTTTTTTGGCTCCAAAAAAAGCACTTTAACCGCATTTTGGTGAAAGTATTTCACAGTATTTTGTCATGAAAGTGTGACTAGGACGAGCCCCTTTGAGTAAACAACAGTCACAGCAGCTGTTTGAACTAACATTTAAAAGGGCAAAGAAGACAATGGTTTAAAAGAAAAAAAGAAGAAGAAAACAAACAAAAGGAGCCTGTCCTGTCACGTTATCTCGCCTTTCACCCATAATAACCTGCAGACCAATCTCAGTCAGAGCAAAGTTTTTGAGCTTATCTCTTCACTCAGCTCTCCTTTGTATAATCAGCAGCAAACCTCCCACAGCGCGAGCTTCGGTCCTGTTACTTCAGAGCCCACACCCTCCTCCGGGTCAGTCAGAAGAAGGCTGGACGTCAAACCACAAGCTCAGTCTGAAGATCTGACAGCCGGGAGGCTCACGGTAAGTTCAGACACAAGAACCGACAGCATTGAAGGAGGTTTAGGAGAGGAAAGCTGCTACCGTAAAGCTAAAGAATGATAACCTGAAGCTGTTTTTGTGTTCGTGTTGTCTGATGTGTTGAAACAGCTCCGAGTAGCTGCAGCTGGATGCTTCAGTCTCACAGGTTCCAGATGTTTCCTTTTGACAGCAACAAGCCTGAGCCTTGTGAATTGAGCAACCTCACTGCTGCTTAGCTCCAAAACTGTGATTCACACTTTGTTTTGCTCAGATGTAGTTAAAGCAGGAAACTCCCGAGTGTAAAACTTGTACTCCCACTAAAAAAAAAAAAAGACAATTTGGGGGGTTTTATGGCATTTTTAATACATTAAAATGCTTTAAGTGCTTCACAAAAAGACTTGAAACTGTTGCAAACAAAAAATATGGCAAATTTGAGTTTAGAGGAGTTCGCAAACAAGTTCTCAGCTGCGATAAACTAAACTAATTGCACCTTTTTACATCAGTTTTGCATTTAAAAGCAGGGACTAGATAAAAAGTGCATGTTCTCTCTTGTCTCTCTTGTCAGCTCACAGAAATAATTGCTGTGGTGACATTTAGAAACTTCCCCAAAGTCAAGGTCAGACAAGGAGAAATATTTCTTTGCTGTCACAGAGAGAACATGCACTTTTATTCAATGCAGGCTATTTAGTTCACAACTGAAATAAAAAGGCACAATTTGTGTAGTTTGTTGCAGCAACTGAACTAAAATCAGCCATATGTTCTTGTTTGCAACAGTCTCAAGTGTTTTTGTAAAACATTTAAAGCAGTTTCAAGTGTTAAAAATGCCACAAAACCCACATGATTGTCACTAACATTAGTGGTAGTAGTAATTTTACCTTCAGGGGAATTCCTTTTTTGCTTAAAGAAACTTAACATCACAAGCCCTTAGCTGAATATTTTACGATTCTAGTTCTTGCTGATTGCACCATGTGTCGAACTTTGAACCCGTAAATACATAAAGCAGCTTTGAAATCCCTTTCACTGGCCGGCGGCTTCCACTACTGGAAAGCACATGTGCTTGAACATGACGCTGTGAAACCGGAGAGGGAGAATCCACCCAAACGCAAACAGCTTTTGTAAACCTCCTGGGATTTAGCGGCAGGAATTCCCACACTGAAGTTGTGTAATGAGGAAGCTGTTGTTGAGCTGTGGAGAAGTTATGCAAGTCTGGGAGCAGGAGGCCTCAGATTACTGAAACAATCGTGAAAATCCTCTGTGGAAAGGCCTTCAAGTGCTGCACATTAGGATTTACATCTTTTAACACGTGACAAACGTGATAAGGATCTATGTTCCTTTTCTAAATCCAACTATTAATTTTAGGTAAAGATGTCCTAATCAACTTTGTTTTGT